AAATGATCAATTTCACTTAAGTGGTTAACGATGTGAAATTATTCAGGGAACCATGTAATATGAAATTGAATTAGTTAGCATTAGTCACGCTGTTATAGGTTAATACTTTCCCTGATAATATCATTGTATCCTCTCCTTCCAAAGTCTGAAAAATACTGTCAAATTCTTTCTGAGATCTGTTCATAGTACCAGTTCACAGCTCTGTAATCTGTTCACAGTACAACTTTGTTTTCCTTGCCTTTTTTTTCTTTTTTGTCATTGTACTGCAGATTGAACCCAGAGCCTGTTTCCACTTCTTATTTTCTCGAAAAATGTATAAGAAAAAAAAAATTTTTATACCTTTATTTATATTTCTTTATGTGGTGCTGAGGATTAAACCCAGTGCCTCACACATGCTAGGCGAGTGCTCTACCACTGAGCCACATCCCCAGCCCTACTTTGTATTTTTAGTTAGAGATAGGGTCTCACTGAGTTGGTTAGCACCTTGCTTTTGCTGAGACTGGCTCTGAACTTGCAATCCTCCCACCTCAGCCTCATGAGCCGCTGGGATTATAGGCATGCACCACTCTGCCTGACTCAAGAAAATTATATATTTTTTTAGTTGTAGTTGAACACAATATCTTTATTTTATTTATTTTTATGTGGTGCTGAGGACCAAACCCAGGGCCTTGCACATGCTAGGTGAGCACTCTATTGCTGAGCCACAACCCCAGCCCCAAGAAAATTATTTTTTAATAACCGTTTTTCAACTCCAGAAAGGTCATGGCTTCTTAACTAGTGCCAATGATCCAATTATTATATAATCAAGAAAATATAAAACAAAAATTAGACTGCTTTAGTGTAAATCTTAGAATACTTTAATAAAGTAGCTCAAATCAGAAAGGAGGGCTTTGAGAAAGTTCTGCCTGTCTCCTCCTGTCTATTCCAGTGGCTGCTCTGAACCCAAGTAGTCAGCTGCTTGGGGAAGAATAATATTAGAACTTCTGACCTTTTTTTTTTTTTTTAACTTCACTTTTACCTATTACAATAGGCTTCAGGGGCTCTTTATATTATAGAAAATACAACGTAAGTTTCCAAATTTAAAATATTGTTAGATAGAATCTCGGTAGGCAAATCCTTCTGACTATATCTAAAGAACAAGGATAAAGCTGAAGGCCCACAAATGGGCCTCTAAATTGCAGTCCACACTTTTTGAGAAGCCTGATTTAGTTAACAAGGCCCAATTTATGAGCAGTCTTTCAGAGATTAATGACTTTTTTTTTAAGAGAGAGAGAGAGAATTTAATATTTATTCTTTTTTAGTTTTCGATGGACACATCTTTATTTTATTTTTATGTAGTGCTGAGGATTGAAACCAGTACCCTGCGCATACCAGGCAAGCCACATCCCCAGCCCGAGATTAATGTCTTACCGGAGACGCTTTCTGTCCCTTGACCGAGATCTTCTTTTATCTCTGCTCCGAGACCTCTCTCTCCTTCTATCTCTGTCTCTGCTTCTAGATCGTCTGTCATCTCCACGTTTACTTCTTTTATCTGAAGGTGAGCGACTTCTAGATCTACTTCCAGAACGTCCCCGAGATGCTGATCGTTTCCGATAATGGCTACAATAGCGTGAAGTCAAAGTTAAGCTTAGCAAATACAGCTTGCATTCTATTGTTTTATTAGTTTTTTTCCAATAAAATCTCATGAGACAAATTAAAAACAGAAAGGACTTTTCATAAACTGTTTTAATTAGGAAGCCAGACATGATAAATATGTAATTATAAAATAAAAATTAGACTACTCTTAGGTTAAATCTAAAACAATTTATTAAAATTATTAGTTTAAAACAGGAGGGCTTAGAGAAAGTTCTATTCTATCTCCTTCTCCTGTGTATTTCAGTGGCTGATCTGAACCCAATGGTCAGCTCTCTTGGGGCAGGATCAAAATAGAACCATCATGAATAGAACACATTCATGGCTTGGGTCAGAATGGCAGGTTGAGATACTAAGAATGGTTGAAATCTGAAAAAAGAAAGAAAAAATTAAAAAATCTGGCTCTGATTAGACTGGGGATGCAGCTCAGTGGTAAATCACCCCTGGGTTCAATCTCCAGCACCAAAAAAAAAAAAAGGAAGAAAAGAATTAACTCTTTTGTTACAGCACAGGAGTGGAAAACTGTCTTGAAAGGGAAGCAAGGGCAATAAACAAAATAGTCCAAGCTCCTACCTTCGAGTCCCAGGCAGCTTCGTTCTGGTTAAGGAGTAGATGCCCGACAAGTAAAGAAACAAATATGCAATATGTCAAGAAGTACAATAGAGAAAAGCAGATCAGAGCAAAGGAAAAAGAGAAAATGGACAGTAGGAAGCTTGCTACTTTATTGCTGGTGACTAGAGAAGACTTCACTAATAAAATAAAGTGACATTTATTATAGAAGCTTAAAGGAAATAAAGGTAGGAACCATGAAGAACCATGACAGCTGCAAAGTCATTGAGAAGCTCTATTGGCACATTCAAGGAACAGCAAGGAAGCCAGCTTTGGCCAAGGCTTAATGAGCTAGAGAGTGCCACAAGAGAAGGTCAAATAAACAACAAGGCAGCCAATTATAGGAATTCTTATATGACATTATATAGGACTTATTTTGAGGAAGATGAAAGCTGTTAGTTGGGGTATGGTGACATGCCCATAGTCCCAGTTAGCTACTAGGGGATGAGGAGAAAGGATCACTTGAACTCATAAGTTCACGATCAGTCTGAATAACACAGCAAGACCCCATCTCAAAAAATGAATAAAAATAAATAGGGCTGGGAGTGAAGCTCAGTGGTACCGTGCTTGCCCAAAATACATGAAGTCCTGTGTCCAACCTCCAGCACCAAAAAGAAAAATAAAGTTGCTAATGTACTAACATGAAAAGAATGAAGGAGTACATTTAGGGGAAAGGTAGGAAACCAGAATATTAGGTATCCAAGTGGAGATGTACAACCATAGGTAAAATCTGAGTCTGGAATTGAAGAGGTTTGGTCTGAAAATATATACTGTGGAGCCATTAGTGTACAAAGACTACTCAAAGCTATAACCCTGGATAAGACCATTAAGGAATGATCACACCTGATTCATCTTTTGTAGAAATACAAACTTGTTACCTTTCCCTACCCCAAACTGTATCATCCCAACTTCTAGTCACTAGGCTCAAAACATCAGTTAACTCGAATATTTTTCTTTTTTTCATTCTACACAACCAATAAAACACCAAGCGTTATCAATTTCACCTCTGTAATCCTTTCACATTATATCACCTCTTCAGAGCTATCACTGTCACTAATCTATATGAGATTTAACTACTGAGTAATTTTTTTATTTTTTAATTTTGGTACTAGGAATTGAGCCCAAGGGCACTTAACCAATGAGTCACATCCCCAGCCCTTTTTATTTTTGACACAGGATCTCAATAAGTTGCATAGGACCCCACTAAGTTGCTAAGGCTGGCCTCAAACTTGACATCCTCCTGTCTCAGCCTTCTAAGCCACTACAGGTTTACAGGTTTTTACAGGTTTGAGACACCGTGCCCAGCTAGTTTTTTTTTAAAGATTCCTGATCTTCCTGCTTCTAGGATCACCTTCTGACCCTATTTGAAATCTTCAAAAGCTCACAAATTTTTATCTTCAAAATTAAATTGATAATTCATTTTCTGTGTTTTTTCAAGACCTACCTTCTCCTTCTCAATCCTTCATGAAACCCATATATGTAGGAAAACTGGATTCTTTAGAGTATTTCTCTAACACCCTGCTCTTTCCCACCTGAGCCTTTCATTCCTGCTTAAACAAAACTAAAGCACACACTTTAGGACATAAAGGTATGGCAGAAGGCTAAAAGGCTAGAAGGAGGCCTTGAAGGCTATTGTCAAAGTTTGAATTTCATCTTGGAAGCAAAAGGAGCTACTGAAAACAAGTCAGGGAGATGACACTGATTTTATCTTTATTTCACAAGTGTCTCTCTGGCTGCAATATGAGAGCTCTAATGATTAGAAAAGCAAGATCAAAGAACGATAATCAATTCAGGGAGCAATCAATTTGAAGGAGGTGCAGAAGTATGAGCAATAAGTGATTAAAGGCCTCAAGTGAGGGAAATTAGGAATGGGGAAAGGATGCAGAATCCAACTAGATGTAGGCAATAAAAAAGACGAATCAAATATCACTTCCAGATTTCTGGTCTGAATAGCCAAATGAATGGCAATGCCTTTAGGGAGCCCAGGGCAGACCCGACTCTGTAATCCCAGCAGCCTGGGAGGCTGAGACAAGGGGATCTCGAGTTCAAACCCAGCCTCAGCAAGGGAAAGGCACTAAGCAACTCAGGGAGACCCTGTCTCTAAATAAAATACAAAATAGAGCTGGAGATGTGGCTCAGTGGTTGAGTGCCCCGCCCACGCCCCCCCCCCCAGTTCAATCCCTGGTACCAAAACTAAACCAAAACAAAACAAAATGCCTTTAGAGAAATTTAGAAGATCTTCACAGGATTTTTCTGTAGCTAAGGAAGTATTCTTTATCCAGATGATGGTTACACAATTCATATATTTGCTAAATTTCATCAAGCTCTACTCACACTTTGTTCATTTCCCTGAAAGTATGCCACAATAAAGCATTTAGCATTAAAAACAAAGCAAAACCGTCACTGTCCCTAGACATAAAGCATCTTTCAGTCACTGCTAAATACATATCAAATATTTATATTTAAGATTAAAAAAAAGTCAAGGTCCTGAGCCAGTTGTCAACAATCTTAAGAGATTTCACAGTCCTAATAAGGTCTCCCAGCTGAGTTTAAAGAATACAGAAAGCAGATAACAAAGAAATATGAAATCCTTTTGCGAAGTAAACATCCACGCAACAAATACTGCAGCCCAGTAAAAGCCGGTCGAGTACAATACTGTGCAGTAAAAATGCCCACAAGGTCCTTTCAACCGACTTGGGAAAAGACAATCCGCGCAAAAAGAACTGAAATACATAGTGAAAGGAGCCGAGAAATGTTGCAAATGCGAAGCAATTAAAAAAAAAAAAAACCCAACTGGGATCACTACTAGCTGAGGCAACCAGGGTAGGAAGTGGCAGGATGGGGTGACCCGTCCCAGGCGGCCTGGAGGGCTACTCTTGCTCCAGAGGCTCAAAACGGGTGACGGCAGTGCAGAGTAAGAATGTGCCCATCACCGACCCAAGCACAGACATTCCCTCAGCCGAAGGCTCCAGCACATTCAGTGGCTGGGGAGCACAGTGGCCACACGTGGAGGCCACCCCAGGCCTGGCCCCGCCACCACCTCAACTCCCGCCTCTTCTCCCTACCCCGAGAAGCCGCTCGCCCGCTCGGCGCACTAACTCACCGCGACTCCCTGCCCATTCTGCCGACTGCAGGAAAGCCGCGTCCGTGAGGACGACTCGCAAGCGAAAGGGACAAAGGAGAAAGACCCGCTACCCTCGGCGCGTCAGGCGAAGACTTAGCACTAAGAACTGGTAGCAGAGACAGCAGAGGAAGCCATCCCAACGCAGCCAACGACAACAGGACGTGCTGGCACCGACCGCAGAAGGAAGGAAACTGCCGGCCGGAAGCTGCTGTCTTTCCACAGCGCCGCCTCTCGGCTGGAGGGCGCGCAGCGCGGACAGCGCCAGAAAGGCATGCCCTTGCCAGGTTTGTGCCAAACGAGAGTTTGCGTTCAAAGGCAGAGCCTCAGTCTCGGGATCCTTGGGTGTGGTTTTGCTGCTGGGGCCACCGACACGTCCTGGACAGTCAGCTGCTGCCCCAGAGGGTTTACTCATGTCCGTCTTAATCTTTCCTAAATAATGCTATAACCTTCTCCATTCACGCACTTTATTCATTTATGCAGTCACTCATTTTTGTTGTGTGCCAGGCTTGTGCTAGATCTCATGGAGAGTGGGGGATGGATATGACCGAAAACAAAAAAGATGTAATACCATAAGGAAAGTGTATACTGGAAAAAAAGAAAGAGCTCCCTGAGGAAGTAAGTGACCTTTCAGCTTGCAGGTGAGAGTTGAAGACTGACTAGGAGTTAACCTGATGAAGAAGACAAGAGCTAAAAATATATTAGCAAAAGACGTGACAGCTCTTGTCCCTCCTGATGGTGCATGCCGGTAATCCCGGTGTCTGGGGTGATTGAGGCAGGAGGGTTGAAAGTTCAATAAAAGCCTTTGAAATTTAGGGTAGACCCTGTCTGAAAGCTAAAGCATCTTTGGGTTTAATCCCCAGTAGAAAAAAAGAAAGAAAGGAAGGAAGGAGAGAGAAAGAAAGAATTTTATATAAATATATATTTATATATAATATATTTATTTAGAAAGAAAGATTTTATATAAAATATATATTTATATGTAATATTTATTTATTTATTTATTCCCTCCCCTCAACATTGCCTGCCCTGAGAAGGATTAAGGAAAATCAGATATGAATGCCTGGGTTTCCACTGATGACCTGACTTACTTGGTCAGTTTTTCATTTTATTTTTAGTTACAACAGTATCTTTATTTTATCTTTATGTGGTGCTGAGGATTGAACCCAGTGCCTCATGCATGGTAGGCAAGCACTCTACCTCTGAGCCACAACCCCAGCTCTATTTTTGTTTTTTTTAAATGGAGATTGACCCAGGGGCACTTTAATACTGAGCTATATAGCCCTAACCCTTTTAATGTTTTATTTTGAGACAGAGTCTCCCTAAACTCTTTAAAACCTCACTAAGTTGCTGAGGCTGGCCTCCAACTTGCAATCATGTTGCCTAAGCTTCCTCAGTGGCTGGGTTTACAGACCTGTGCCATACCCGGAAGCATTGGGGATTTTTAAGCTTCCTAGGAGACCCTGAAGTAGCCAAGATTGGGAATTAATGGTCTGGTGGAACACATACCCAAGATTTTGCAGAAAGCTGTCATGAAGTTGGGGAAGAATCTCTCATTTTTACCCTACATGTAACTGTACTGCTATGCTATATACTTTCTTACACCTAAATAGAAAAGCACTATACTTTTTTTTTTTAGTACTGGGGATTGAACTCAGGGGCACTTGACCACTGAGCCACATTCCCTGTCCTATTTTGTATTTTATTTAGAGACAGGGTCTCACTGAGTTACTTAGCACCTCGCGGTTGCTGAAGCTATCTTTGAACTCATGATCCTTCTGCCTCAGCCTCCCAAGCTGCTGGGATTATAGGCGGGCACCACCATGCTGGGCAAAAGTACTATATCTTTATTGTGGCAGTTGTGTGGATGTATACATTTGTTAAAATTCATTGAATTACACTTAAGTTAATTTTTGCGGTACTAGGAACTGAAACCAGGGCCTCATGCATGTTAAACCCTCTACCACTGACCTACATCCTCTGCCTATTTTATTTTGACACAGGATCTAAGTAAATTGCCCAGGCAGGTCTCAAATTTGTGATCCTCCTGCTTCAGTCTTCTGAGTAGCTGGGATTACAGGGGTGTGCCACCATGCCTAGCAAACTATACAGTTTGAATTGATGTTTTATTCTACATAAAATTTAATTTCAAATAAAGATGATTTTTTTTAAAGTAAAATAAAAATAGTGTAAGGTTAAGATTCCAAGCTGAGTTCCAGCTCTCACCCCTATGGCTGTTGCCTGCCTGTGTGAGCTGTGAGCTGCATTGAAGAGGGATAGACTGGAGAGTTTGGCACCCTGCCAAGGGTAAGGAAGGACTGAACCAATATTACCAGATGGATGCCAAGGAGGGACAGGTACCAGAGCTATATAAGTTGCTGGGATGTAGGCTATAGGGAAGGATATGGATTTCAGTCTAAGAGAAATAGGAAAACAGGCCACCTGGGGTCCTGTAGTTCCAGGTGTTCTGCTGCTCCAGAGGCTGAGATGCCAGCCTGGACAACATAGCAGGAGCCTTCTCAAAACAAAACAAAAACAAAAATAGAAAACCACTAGTAACTTAACCAGTGGAGACAAGATATGGTCAGATTCCAGATGTATTCTGGGGGAAGCTCTCAAAACAAACTGATCATTTGGCTGTAAGCTGTGAGGGAAAGGGAAGAAGAAAGATGACTCCCAGGCTTTTAAAAAATACATTTTTATTAGTTATTGATGGGTCTTTATTTATTTATATGTGATGCTGAGACTTGAACCCAGTGCCTCGCACATGCTAGGCAAGTGCTCTGCCACTGAGCCACACCCCTGAGCCACACCCCAGCCCAGACTCCCAGATTTTGAACAGAGCTATAGTTTGATTGTCATAATGTATGGAAATGAGAAAGGCATGGGAGCAGCATTTGACGGGGAAGGAAAGAAATGAGCAATTCTGTTTTAGTCGTGAGATGCTTGAGATGCCTACTACACTTCCAGGAACTTATGGCTATATAAGGTGTTATATGAATCTGGAGTACAAGGGAGAAATAGAAGTGGGAGAGAAGTGGGTTACTAGCAATTTATATTAAGTATAGTACAGCCATGGACTGGTGAGATCATGCAGAGGGAATGGATGTAACGAAATTTGAATATTGCTTGGTCACAGAATTAATGTTAATAGGTGCAACAGATTTTTTTTTTTTTTTTGGTACAAAGTATTAAACTCAGGGGCACTCAGCCACTGAGCCACATCCCCAGCCCTACTTTGTATTTGATTTAGAGACAGGGTCTCACTGAGTTGCTCAATACCTTGCTTTTGCTGAGGCTGGCTTTAAATTCATGACCCTCCTGTCTCAGCCTCCCACACCACTGGGATTACAGGCATTGCGAGCGCGCCCAGCTGGAACAGATTTTTTAATCACATACTCAAATTTCTTGATTTTAAGAAAACAGACACTCAGGAAACACACTTAGTCCTATATCACTCATCTTGCTAGAACTAGAATCTACCTAGATCTAGGCTCATTTGAAGATACTTTATTTCAACTCCCCTCTGAGAGAACCCATTAACAAGGCAATTCTCACTGCCATAATAATTTATGACCACAATACATTGGTGGTTAATTCACATTACTTCTCTGTCCTGCGGGAAGCTGCTACTGTCTCGAATATGTCACTTAGAGCAAATAGCCCTGGCTTCCAAAGCAGATTTTGATTCTGACTCAGTTCTGAGAAACTTATAATCATCTGTTTTTAATACCACTGGTAATAATTAATCAGACTAAAAAACCCACTGGGTGACATGGTTGAAGATGTCCTATATAAAAGACCATATTTGTCAGTCACTTAGCTGACATATATGTCAAAATTCCTAAAAAGATTTTAAATTTTTCTGAACACGAAGAGATTCCATTTGCATCTGATATTATTCAACATACTGAAGCAAATAATCAGGGGGATGTCAATCAACTGTAGAGAAAAAGTGGCAACAACAGGTATCTTACAAGGTCTTTTTTTTTCTTTTTTTACTTTACATCTCTATTCCTGTTTTTTTTTTAATTTTTAAAAATGCTTTATTTATTTATTTTAGTCATACATGACAGCAGAATGAATTTTGACACATAATACATACATGGAATGTACATACATCAATCATATTGTCTATTCTATTCTGTTGCCCTTCGTATCCTCCCTACTCCTCCCCTCCTCTCCCATCCTTTCTCTCTATCCAATCTAATGTGACACACTTTTTTTTTCTTTTTCTCATTACAACATCATATATGTATTCTGTATAACAATGAGGTTCTCCTTCCATCTTCTGTGCAACTCCCCTTCTCCCTCTTTTTCCCTCCCACTTCTCTTCCCTTTTTAGTGGTAGTCTTCTTCTCATGCTCTTCTTCCCTATCCCATTTTGAGTCACCCCCCTTATAACAGAGAAGACATTGGGCATTTATTTTTTGGGGGGATTGGCTAACTTCACTTAGCATAATCTGCACTAATGCCATCCATTTGCCTGCAAATGCCATGATCTTGTTATTTTTTAGTGCTGAGTAATATTCCATTGTCTTACAGGTCTTCTTGATATATAAATTTATGTGGGAGGCCATCCTTGCACATGATTTGAGTTACCTCCCTGTCTAGGTGAGAGACCCTTAGATACAGCTGTGTCAGAGCTTTCCCCACCCTTCTCCAGGTCCGACTGAGGGCTAATCATCGCCCCCCCCCACTTGGGACGCTGCCCCTCTTAATCTTCATTGGATGGGATTTTCCCCAGAATCTTTTGTTCCCCTCCCTGGCGTGTTCTCTCTCTCTCCTCTTCAGTAAACTTCGCTACCACATTAGGTGGCTGGAGGCTGGAGCTAGGAGGAGCCATCCTGGAGCTAGTTTAAAGGTAATTAGAGGGCTGGGGATGTGGCTCAAGCGGTAGCGAGCTCGCCTGGCATATGTGCGACCTGGGTTCGATCCTCAGTATCACATACAAACAAAGATGTTGTGTCTGCCGAAAACTAAAAAAATAAATATTAAAAAAACTCTCTCTCAAAAAAAAAAGGTAATATGAGTCTTGTCTCTTTAATTCAAAACTCCCTAGTGGTTCCTCACGTCTCCAACCTTCATTCATGAAACCAGAGTGGGTCAAAGGCTAAAAATTTGATAATGAAACACACTCTTATTTAGTTGCTGAGGGTCTTGCTAAAATGCTTAGGCTGGC